ATCTAAAATTGAAGTGTGTTGGTGATATTTCTGTCTGTTTTTTCATGGTCACCTACTTAGTGCACCCCTACAATTATTAATATCAATGTTACGGAAGCCCCATCTCTATCTCTGGAGCTAAGAGGTAGAGAATACTGAGTTTATAAGATATATAGGCTGTGATCATGGATTGGGAGTTCAGGATAAACAAACATTCTAATCTACTTAGTACCAGTCTCACAGCAACTTCCAAAAAGAAAAAAAAAAGAAAAAAATTGGAATAGTTTTTTTAAGGGAGATTTTCATTATTCATATAAACATTGTGGCTTTTGAGGAGATCACATTTAGAAGACATCCCTTGGAAGAGATGATTGTTGAACTCATGTAAGGAGGTGGATATTTTAGGACCCTATGAAGTATCTGTCCCAATAATAATCAGAAAACAAATGATATTCCTGATTGCTAATTCTTTCAATGGGGTGGGAAATCTCTACCCACATATTTTTCTCTTTCAATTCACGAGCCTGTTACTACTGACCATTATATTAGAGGAGAAATAACTGTAGCATTAATATAGGAAGAGGACCATTAAAGTACATATAGAAATAAAGTAATGAGTGTATAAAGTGCAAAGGCAAAATTCATCCTTCAACATTTTGGGTCAATATAAAGTAGGGAAATAACTTGCTTAGATGCAGAGTTTAGAATCCTATCATGAAGGAAATGCTTTTGATTGGAAGTTTATTCCAAATACTTCTCTTTGATTTTTTTTAAACAAGAAAACAGTGTGCTTTCAAATTATGGAAGCAATTCTTGTAACACCATACAGATATTATATATGCTTGTGGAAGTGAAAATTGTTTTAAATATTATATCCAGTTCTGGGACCAGAATTTTTCTCACTAAGCTATGCAGTCACAAAGCTCAAAGTCTGGCGACCATATCACTTAGCAACCACAATCCAGGCACTCCCCACTGCTGTCTTTAACCAAATCCCATCAGCCATTAACCGAGGACTCACCCCAATCCAAGCCATTCCAGGCTTGGTCCTTCCCAGCCCCAAACCCTTGTTCCTCCAAGACTGTCTCCCATTCAACTCCCCCAAACTGCCTATTCCTCCCCATCTCTGACTTTTGGCCACCCTGCACCCTGCTTCATGGGGTGGCAAGTAGCCTCAGAACCACAGCTGCACCCTGCTTAATGGGGTGGCAAGTAGCCTCAGAACCACAGCTGCATGATGCGCAAAGCCACAGCCACCACAGCCTGGCCCAGCCCAGCCCAGCCCAGCCCAGCCACCCTCACTGTCCTGCACTCTGCTGCCCCAGCTGCCCTTCACCATCTTCTTGCTTCTGCTGTTGATGAGGCATGTCCGGCTTGGCCCTTCGCAAGGCAGCTGCTGGTCATGCGAGGCCTTCTTCCCCAGGACTTGCAAGGAAACCTCTGTGCGTGACCTTGGGAAGAAAGCCTTGTGCAACCAGCATAATGTATAAAGTGATTTATTGAAAAAGAAAAAAGTCTAAACCATAATTTCTTGTGGAACTAACTCTTGTGTTCTCTTACTTTCCTTCTTCTATTACTCTTGAATTTGCTTACCTTGCCTATACTTCTGCTCCAGAGACAAATAGTCCCAACCAACCAGTTTCTTTCTACTAGATGTTTCCAAATGCTGATTATCAGTATCATGGGATTCTCCAGCTATTACTACATTTCAAAGGAACATGAATTGGAGTATTTTATATGGGTATTGGCAGTCAAACAGAATTATGGCTCCAGGAAGTATTACCTTTCCATTCACAGCACGGCATCTGTTTTGACTTCATTGAAAATTCTCCAGTGGGAGGATAAGAGAACTTGATGTGGTTTGGGAAGCTACCCTTGCAAAAATAAGCCTAGCCTGGGACAGCACAGCTTATACAGTGATCTGTCATGGAGACTTTCAGAGTATAACATTTTTGTCAGTGTTACTCAAACTCTCAGGCTATGATAATACAGCGGGGGGGGGGGGGGACACCAAGGTCTGGATGATAATAGCTGATTTGGATTTCACATCTGCTTTGTTTCAGAGAAGCTGGAGCATTAATTTCCTCCAGGGTGCTGTCTATTTGGCAATCCAATCTAAGCTATTTGGCAGCATTTAATGGTCTGCTTCCAAACATTACCACTGAGACAGTGGAGGAGAACATCTGCACTGGAGAGAAGAAGCTGGAGACTCTCCCGGAATTCCTTTTGAAGCAAGCATGACTGTCCACAGATACTGTGTCTACAATGCTGTCTATGCTGTCGCCCATGCTTTGCATGCCCTATACTCAGCCTTACACAAGCCAGGATCAGTGCTGATGTGGAAACGTCTTGCATGAAACTCATGGAGGGTAATCTCTTGAGCGCAGTACTGCAGGACCTCTCACCATAACTGTTGTTGAAACAGCATAAGTTGTAAATAATTCTTGTTTAACTGATCCCTTCCAATATTTGAGCCCATAGCTCTTTTTTTTTTCTTTCCCATGAGAAGAACTAATCTCTGTTCTGACTCAGTTTTTCTGGGGTTCCTGCCTCATGCATATGTGCAGAGGAAAGGGTTAGATTGGGCTGTCCCATGCTGTTTCTTCTGTCTACTCTGAATTAGCATTTTGGATTTCATTTCTGGAAATATTCGAGCTTCCAGTTATCCGTCAGTATAATGCCAGTAAACATTTACTCTGAGCTGGTTTTGTATTATTTCCTTTTATTCATTACAATATGATTTACAAGCTGATGGCATCCAAACAAATCAGCCATCGATAGAGACATAGAAATAAACCACATTTACACACCATTCACAACAGACAATAAAAAAGCTAAGGAAGAAACCAAAGGATCAGAACATATCCTCTCAGGCAGGCTACACCCAGACAAGCAGGGCTTAACAGCAGACAAACAATCAAGCAGAAAACAATACCCTAACCAAGGAACTACCAAGGAGAAAACCACATTTCCTCTTTTATGGGCTTCCAGGCTATTGCCAGTTTTATTGTTGCCTTCCTACCCAGGAAGTTACCAGACACCTTCCAGGAAGACAAATTCATCAGGCCAGCATACTGGTGTTCTGCACTGTGTGGTTGTCCTTTGTCCCTGCCTATAGCAGCACCAAAGGGACATACGTGGTTGCTGTGGAGATTTTCCTGGCTTGTGTCTTTTCCCCCAAATGCTGCATCAACATGATGAGGTTAGATTGGAATGAAAAGGAGAATTGAATAAAAGGAGTGAATTAAGCTGGAGAGAAGCTGGAGAGTCTCCCAGGAATTCCTCTTGAAGCAAGCATGGCAGCAGTTTTAAGCATTGTTGTAAAGAGTATTTTATGAGCATTTGTAATTCTTTCCATAATATATGGAGTTAGAGCTACATATAGTTTCACTTGGTGCAGTGGTTGAAGGTAAAAAGGCAGCTGTATGCATTCTTAGTCAAAGCAGCTGCAGTTAGTAAAGCATTTTTCAAAGCAGGCTGTGATAGTTGGGGATTTTCAAAAGGTAAGATTCACAGAATTTGAGGCAACCCTGGTACAAATCCCCCAGTTCATTGATGGAGTCTTTATCTCAAAGAGTAGACCCATGTAATTAAGAACCAAGCTTTTGAAGAGCTTCTAGAGAGGAATGTGTAAGATCCAGAAATATAAATGTGGTTTTCTAAGGAAGTCACATGCTTTGCTGTGCCAAGGGACTGAACCCCATAAGTAAACCATGCTGAGCTTCCACCCAGCTCATAACTGAGGGTCACCAAACGTT